GTACGAGGCAGCGACGTGCTGCATATTGCGGAGGCGTTGTCTGTCCTTGATCAACGCTGACTGGAGCTGTCTGGGTTTAATGCAAGGCTGTGACGCGCTGCATATTGAGGGGGCGTTGTCTGTCTGGTCAACACCTAGCGGATCTGAGAGTCACCGTAGATTCCGGGCGTTCAGTGGTTGCTTTCAGGAAGCTGACCTTCCTGATAGCTAGTGCTACCTATTGGACTTTGTTAGTTTTTTTTAAGTCTAAGGCTTGTAAGTTAGCATGACGCGGTCAATACGCTAGCCCCCGAGTTTCAGTCAAACGACTAAAAAGTGTGTTGCACTGGGTTTTTCTTCTGATACAATCATAGGGCATTTTACACTGAATATCCTCTTGTTCAAACATAAATTGGGGCGAGATGGCTCAGTGGTTAGGGCGCAAATCTGGTAGTCGAAATGTCCGAAGTTCGAACCCGACATCTGCCTCTCAACTTACCCTGTCTAGACTTGGCCAACCTGGCCGTATCCCAGCTCTCGTGCTTCCTTCTGGTGGCATAGCATTTAGGCCCCGAAAGGGTGCTACAGCTGAACGGTTTTTTTCAAACATCTTTCAGATGTTGACTGGGATCATCGTTGGAGTGCATTACTCCAAAACCGGTATCCATTCGTGACAAAAGCCCACAATTTCCCGACTGGGGGCTGCTGGCTCCGTTTAGGTCTGGTTGGAACTCCCAGGTTGTAACTGACCCAATATCAGTTTCTGCTCATCTAACATAATGCCTAGAGGTGGAAAGGTGAGATAGGTAGGCCTAGGACCAGGCTTACTATTGACAGCTAATGTAACTGTGACGGCCGAAAAGTTGCTGTCACGTTGACCCGCACAAGTTGGCTTCTAAGTTGTTGTGGCTGAAAACGTCTTTTGCCAGACAGCAAGCACATAGTTGCCTTTTCAGAGTTTCTCTTTGTATTCGTCAGGCCAAATGTTTGGGTCTGTATTAATCTATGTACGTTCGACGTAGCCGCCTTGCTACAAAAATGAGAAAGCAATACTTTCCCAGATGTTCATTCGTGTAGGATGATTTTGTGGCCATATAAACAGTTTAGCGGTGGGGCTATCAGGGGTCTGATTTCATTTCGTACCGTTACTCAGCAAATAAGGTATTCGGCTGTTTAGGTTGCTATAGGATATGTCGAAATTTTGTTTACGTGGGAGTGCAATTAGGCGGCAAGGTGAGAAAGCGCACAGTAAGTTGGGTTAAAACGATCGGTCGAATCAGAAGTTGCACTAGTTCTGTTATTCCGAAAAACATTAGTTTAAGGTTACACAGTGTCACTTGAAAAGATTTCGGTCGAATCTGAATAGAGAGGTTCCGTAGAGTGCACGACCAATTATAATTTCACAATTCCACTTGCATACGCATACCAGTGAGTCGTCGCCTACCGGCATTTTCTGGCGAATGGTGTAGTCTTGAAATGAATCGGTACTACTTGTCTATATACGCCTCCCGTCGTATCCAATAGAGCGAACCCTGTGAATATAAACCAAATTGACTGCGTACGGAATAAGCCCCACGTCCTTATTACCTCAGGCACCACAAGCTAAATTCCTCGTTAACAAAGCACCGGTATAGTTCTTGGTTTTCCTTTTAAAACTAGGCATTTTTATTAAAGACACAATTCATCATTGGTTTGAAGTGGTCCCATTGCGGCAAAATTGTGTGCAAGAGAGGTCGAAACACCGAGTTCAACCTTTGGACGTATTGGACACCAGTCCAACAAGCCAGCCAGCAAAGACACGTACATCTTCATACTTGTTCAACATTGTTGGTTCGGTCACTTTTTGCAATTTCGCTAAGAACTTTCTCCATCGCTGATCAAGGAAGCATATATGGATCTCCAGCAACGCACGCATTTGTCTCAAGCTTGCAGGGACAATCGTTTTCTATCTTGCCTGAAACTTGATGGACACTGGTCCTGGACGATTGAATGCCGTTAGGAAGATTGTCTCGATTGATGTGTTAGCCCAACATCTCGACATGTATTCATTTTGTGCAAGCACTCGCTGATTCTCCGCGCTTGGTGAATATGTTTTTTGTAGGTTACAGCAACCCAGTCTGGCTGATGCAATTATATCTGCCATTCAACGGGCTAATTGCGGACAAACAAAACGGAAATCTTTTTCTAAACTCCACTTCCAAAGTAGACCGTCTTGGTTTTTCGCAAACGAATTGCTGTCCATTCTTTCGCGGACTTTGGTTCACACATTGCTGGGCCGTTCGGTAGTGTGTTCCAACAAACTGGTTGTCACACACTGGTGTGACTGCGAATTTGTCCAATATCCAGAAACTTCTTTGTCATATCGGAAGTAAACTACAGGTGGTCGGTGGGGCTAAAGCAAACTGAACGGTTTTTAAAACCACAGCAGCTTGAAACTCGTTAATCATATGAGATATCCGTGATATTTATCAGGTGAAAGCCTTGTGGTTAGTTCGCCGTACCTGTTTGGTCAATTTTACCGTGGTGGTGTCTTTCAATACACCTGACTAGATAGCATATTTGGCGTTCAAAGTTTGAAAGGACACTGTCGTAAGGAATTATTTCATCATCCAGGTTGAACGTTGTATGAAACAACTGATAAAAGAAAATATTTTATAGAATAATAGTTATTGTTTGACTGGAGAAGCGGATTTCGCGCATCACCATCCCAACTGAAAAACAACAATTGTTATTCAAAAAAAGATTTATGCCAGTGGTAAACAGGTTCCATGAGTCTTCCTATTCAGAAAAACGCGCACTCATCCGAAAAGGTAACCCGAGGCGGCTAAACAGACTTATCCTTGGTGACAATTAGACCAATACATCATCTCTACCTTTGAAGAAGATTACGGTGCGAGGAGAATTCTTTCACGTTTTCTAGGGTAGCTGTTTTTCGGAGAGAAAATTTTACCCCAGGTAGTAAATAACGGGAATACCATTGTAAAACTAATCATTCCGCAGAAAGATCTCTCCCGGAGTGTCAAAAAGCTAGCTGCGTTCCAACGGGACTAGCTCTTAATAGAGGTTTCCTCTAAGAAAACTTACAAGTGTTCTGTCATTTACAACCTGTTTTGTACTTGGTTCCATCAACAGAGGTCACATACCTGAGCACCTCACTTGCCCATTTCTGTGCGACAATTTCATCAAATGTGTATAAAACCGAGCGATGAAGGTGAATTTACAACAACACTTAAATCCCATCCTCATATACTTGGTAAATAGGGCAGATCCAGAGTGACCTTGCACCGGTAGCAACAGATGCCTCACTCGAGAAGAAAACCAATGAATTAATGGTTTGAAGTTTTTTGTTCATCTCTCAGTTGCCGTAGTTTGGTTTTCACGAGAGACTCAACTGAATCTCTCGTTTATGATATTCTACAACCGAATGTGCAGCACACAGGCCGCCTCGTATTTCAGTTAGCACGATATTCCAGATATCGCAGTATATTTTCATAAAGGAAACTCTTCGAAAGCCCACGACGGAGTTGATTTGCAAATGAGTGTTTTCTCAAAAACAGTCCGATTTGGGTTCAAGTGGAACATAAGATTGAGGGAAACTCGGAGACTGTGCCTACCTGATGAGCCCCGAGAAGGGCGAAACCAGTCGTGGGCTGGTCGAAGAGTTCCAGCAACCTTGTGAGTAGTTTTCTTTATAAAAAGAATGAAACAGGTTTGTCCATCCGTCTCGGTCGACTTGTGCAGGCTGTGAACTTAAAACTATCCGGATTTTCCCATCCTTTACACTAGGACTATCGGTCATCAATCATTTTTTCTTAAAAAAACAAGTTCCACTCCATCTCGGTGGATTTTATCAAATGCAAGCAGTTACCTGTGCTAGCACTTTCATCGAACGCCCCAAATTCAAATACTAGACACTCTTTTGAAGCACAACAATCATTCTTGTTCTTCCTATCCTGTCCCACTTTTCTTATAGATATATTTCTTCGCCCTTTGCCCACAAACAATATCCCAGCTGTGCGCATATTCCGAGCCACCTTTTTGATAATATTTTTCCTCAGTCTCTTCGGACTAAACACCTACGGTTGGCGCACCTCCGGAGTGAATCATGTACTCATATTCGAGATCAACCCCAGATCACATTTGGATCATTATCAACTGTTTGCGGTGAGTGATGAACACAGTAGCTTGATTGCAGTATTTTTTACGTATCATTTCCTCATTCAGCATCTGACAAGTCAACTTAAGTCAAAATGACCTCATTCACACACCTACGGTTGGCGCACCTCCGGAGTGAATCATGTACTCATATTCGAGATCAACCCCAGATCACATTTGGATCATTATCAACTGTTTGCGGTGAGTGATGAACACAGTAGCTTGATTGCAGTATTTTTTACGTATCATTTCCTCATTCAGCATCTGACAAACAAGTCAACGTCAAAATGACCTCATTCACTCACGAGGTAAACTCCCGGTGGTACACATTTCCCTCCGATCCCATTTGTACCCTATCAACCAACCGCAGTGAACTTGCCGGTCAACAATGCTTGGAATCTGGACGCATTACCTACGATTGCCAAACCAAAATCGATTTGTTCGTAGCCAGATTAGGCGCTTTATACAAACTGCTGATGCTGCTGATGCATTCATGGATTAGCACACGAGAGCTTGTCGGCAGTCGTAAATACAGGTTTAAGTCGCCACACAGAAAAATAAACCTTATGCCGCGGAAGCGGGTTTGTTTCCCATCTATCCGCCCATCAATCAGCCGATTCAAATCAAGAAAAACCGTGTTAACCTCGAAGTCACTTGATGGCGATGCGAAGCGAGGATTTCAAATAGGAGTCACTGAGCATAAATAACTTTAGTATGAGAGAATAATTACTGAATAAATATTGACAAAACCTGGGCGTGTAAGTCGTTCTGTTTGCTAACAGTGGAAGAACCAAGTCATGAAGCAAGTCGAAAATAGATATTTTTCATTCGAAATGCTGTTTATATAGATCCATGTATGACTTGCTTGGTTCCGCGTTTGAAAGCGCATACAAAGTTGACAGCGCTTCAGAAAGACCAGCATACAAATGATGGGCGAGAGCGAATGAAATATTTGCTTTAATAAAGTTATACTGCTCACAAACTGTGATAGAAAACAGAGTGTTGTTTCCGGGTTAACAAAACCGGGACACAAGTGTAATTGGGTTGATAAGAGGAATGTAACATTCTCACTCGGAAAGCAAGAAGACGGAAAATAACCACAACCACATGGTGAAGGCATGAGCAGCTAAAATGCTTACATAAAATTACCTGGGATTCAAAGGGACCTGAGAATCAAAGAGTGGAGACAACCAGCTATAAGGAGCAGTTCGTAATTCATAAAATCATGAGAAGAGATTAGCGTCCTCGACAATCGTTATTTAAGAGTGCATGGAGGCCTTGAAATGCGTCCGTCTCTAAGGTTCCCACAAGCTGGAGTCCAATCGGGATTACCCACACAGTAGTCGAATACCACCCTTAGCAGTATATCATGGGTGCTTACAAATCGAAGTATCAGAAAGTCGAGTTCCATAGATACCTTGCATCTCTGTTAACACCGACCCCATATCGATTGAGTATCTCACGTGTACCAGTAGTTATGCAAATGAGCGATCTAATGGACGTCAATGACCGTCTAAATAACCTATGAGCACGTTATGCGAGCTGAGAAATCAATATATTCTTCACCAACTGAAGCAGTAAACTGGCGTATGAATTCAGCTGGGCGTTGTCATGATAGCTGAAACCATTCCTCACGAATAGTTGCATCATAAAGATAGGACACTGAATACCATACACTTTAGCTCGACAAAAGTTGTACTCATCTCACACACACTAATATCTTGTGGTTTGGGGCGGCAAGCTCTTTGAACGCATGCATTGTGGGCGGCGGATGGGGAATACCCTTCTCACCAACTGAGATAATCAGCTTTCACATACTTTTAACAGGTACACGCACACACAGGCATCGCAGGCACTGGTTTGGAAAGGAACCTTCTGCTAACTGAAGTAGCACCATCTGATTAGAAAAGCAGCCACTTCAAAAGAATTTTACCCATTCAGTCAATCGTCACAATGGAAGCTAACCGAGTGGCTAACGGTGAAACTGAGCGATACTAACTGATTATAAAACCGGTAACGAAGCGCCTTAGCGAGCTTGCCTGGTTACTTTCGTAACTCAGGTCAGTGTGCATGAACCAATCAACTATTTTTCACAAGTCACATCTGCGCTTGCTGTGTTGCTCCCTAACCTTATCGGCAGATGAGAGCTTTGTGTGGAACACCCCACTTTTGGCTGCTCTTTCTAAGCCTTGATTCACAAGAGCCTTGGCAAATACAGGATTTCATTCTGGATAGCTGTTAGTAACTTCTGACCAATATTTGAAGTCATGATATAGCTTGCTATAGGAATGTCTTAAAGACCTTGTCTGATTTAACCAAAGGTATATATACCCAGGCTTGCAAACTCTTGCACTGAATTTGGTGGGACCTTTTTATAAGTCTGATTTTGGACGTTTCGGATGACTACGGCCTCGTCCTGAGACATACATCGGGATTTTACTTGTGCGGTTGTACGTGGCCAATCACTGCCCGTCTGGTCATCCTCACGAGCATCAAGGATTTCAAAAATACAGAAGTATGGTCACCTCATTCCTCTTCAGTAGTTATATCGTGCACGAAAGTACCACAATATCTTGGGATCAAGACAGAAGGGGATTTATACGGACACAAAAACTTTGTTATTCACTGCCTGATGGGTTTCTGTTGATGATGCTTTATCCATAGAAAATCCTTCGAGTCTGAAGCACAGAAGCTCCCTCGGAGAGTTCAGGTTAGCAGCTAAAAATCGGGAACGTTAGGTTAGCTCGGTCAGTTTCTCTGAAAGCCCCTGTTGTAAGGTTGTAGCCACCGCCGTGATTCGCTCCGATCCTCACTGTCTTCATGTGTCTAGAGTAAGTTGGTATCTAGAGGTGATCTGATAATTCGCACTTCATGGAATGTATACTCTTTGATATTCGTCAGCTCGATTAGCCCAAGCGATGTAGTAATGTTAATCAGAAAACTGTATTTACTTTCCTTCAAACCTGGGCAACGCAGGCCTGTCTGCCCGTTCGGCCATTTCATCCAAATCTTGAACTTAGCTCCGTTTGGAAAAATTTGAACATTTTAATCACTGAATTCTCTATCTATCACTCTGTCGTCATTACGAGGTGGCAAAACGTGTTGCAGGACGTTAGCACCGATTGTAGTATCTTCAGCCGCGGGTTTTACGTAAGAACACTTTATCTGCCTACATTTCACTCAGTGTCTCACGATCAGGACCACGAAAGTCAACACAGTTGCATGCTCACAGCAGTGGGTAAGACGCCATTGGGTTGTGGTTACGTAATAACGCAGTAGATACATATTTTGATCCATTTTGAAGGGTTTTTAGAATGAGTCTGGAAATGCAACACCAGTGCCTTTGGAGTCACGTTAGCTGCGGCTCCTTCACTTACCGTGGAGAGCGTTTCATCTTGGACTCCGACAAAAGTCGGTCTGTCCTACGGCCTTTATCTTTACAGATGAAATTAGAACGGTTGATGAACGAAAAACTGACGTACTGAGATCCCTATCTCTGCTGGTTCGAGTAAATTATGTATATAGATTGAAGAAGGGTTATATTGCTGTTGTTGGTCTTCGTTTTACTCCGCTCCTGTTCAGAGTAGAGCATTCAAATTGCAATCACGCATCTTTCAAGGCATTTGTGGACAAGTTGGATTTAGTCAAGTCCCTAAAGCACCACGTTAGCTCAGACAACTGGATACTTTAACCAAATGTTTACATTCTGAAGAGCCTGCCTTGAAATTTCCTACCACCTACAATAATATGTCTGCTGAAAGCTTTGCTCAAGTCAATCAAAATAAGTATAAAAATAAACATTGTTCAGGGTAAGCAGCGTCATTCATAAACCGTTACTCAGAGGACAACACATTCTCGTAACTCTTCTCAAGTTATGCAGGATGCGCCCAAGATCATTCCCTTCAGTCTAACACAGGAATATATATATATNGCTACTGCCCCATGCGGTTATTCACGGACCTTGACAACTTCTTCACGGTCCCGCACGAACTTTTTGTGTAAATTCTTGATCTTCAGTGCATTTAACTTAAATTAGGTACGAAGTTGTTCACCGTTCGTTGCATTTTATCCACCATTGGCTTGGACATTCCTGTAGGACATTCCCTACCTAACGATAACATGGATTAACGTGAACCCTTTATGTGTGACCCAATTCGCACCAACATCCACCCATGGGCTCTGATAAAAACATTATGGGGAATGTGTCAAAATATCGATAGTTCGGGTTCGTTTCTTGATTTTTGACTCGGTCGCTGTTGTCTGTTTGCCGATCTTTACAATTAACTGATGGTGAAACCAACGTTGGTAAGTTAATTTCCAATTTCGGTTAATAGATCAAAGCCCACCTGATCAACATCAAAAACAACCCTGAAACACCTTTAGTTTAACACGTGAATGTGTCCAGTAGGTCTTTTGTGACTGAGGGACAGTCATCGATTGGATCCTCCATTCCTACCTAATATGCTTGTACTTTAAGGCAGGAAGAATATCCTGCTAATGAACCAGCTGGACCTCTCGAAGACACCTAACTAGTACACCTCGCCTTTCCATAGTGTTACGGCTAATCGTAAAGCTGTTTGTCTACAATCGAGGGCAACTACATTATGTTCGACCTCCGGACAAATTTTATGTGATCCCATTAAGACCGAACTAGCGAAATTCTGCTGCTCATTCATGCGCCTTGATCTTTGACGGTAAAGAATGGCAATGTGATGAAACCAGGTTCAAGAACAAAGTTACGATAGGGTTCGCGTTTTCTACGATGGCGCCAACTATCGCCTGATATGCCTTACTCTTATCATGTGAGTTTGATGGTAAAAAGGGATTCTGGCCTTAGTCGCCCGATTGGCGTGCAAGTGACTGTAAATTACCCATGCAAACACACATCTTATCTGCTGATATTCGTCGGTTTCAATAATCTAACACACGAAATTAAACTTTTTATCCACTTGTTGACTATGTTTTCCCCCCAGTAAGCCTTTGAATCGTTTTATGAGCCAGCTTGCGAATGTGCGTGATTCTGATGCATGTCGACTATTTGTGGAATACGTGAACCTGTGCCTTAGTTCCAGCATGATCCCTCTTCCTAGGTAGTGTTATGGAACACGCGGGATCGAAAACTGCTCATGCTAATCACCGTGCATGCTTAGTTGTCGGAAGATATTCTAGAAAGCTAACTGATATCTTGTGCTCTCGCGCGAAAACCGATCTATACAGATGGTGTATAATAGCCGTCCGGACAAACCATTGGTTCCAATTCGGTCCACCTGGCCGTCGGTTCAGCTTGGTGTGTCCACAGCTGGGTTCATCAAAGAAATACGGGATATTTAGGGGTGCAGCGTTTAAGTGGTAGATACTACCTGGATCAGTTTGTTAGCTGAGGCAAGCTATGAGGAACTCCAGTAGGCCGCTTAGCTGGCAATGAGTGGACAGTCGGTGAACCTTGATCGATCTCACCCGAACACCCAGAAAGGGCAGTTGGCATTGCCCAATTAATCGCCAGGAATTCGATTGCCTCCTTGTAGGTGAGCTTCTCTCGAATAGCCGTTACGAGATGGGAAGCGCTAGCTTTCTACGTTGGTTTCTTGCATCTTCCCCCACGCGACCGAATTGATTAGCCTTCTGTCTTAATCTTTTTGGAGAAAGCCTCAGTGAACCAGGAGCTTCATCATCGTAGCGTGAAGATGGTCATCCTACAAAGGATTCCAAATTAATCACAACTCGTTCGTTACGCAAATCTGAGGCACGAAACTGACTTCTTGTGGAACCATTGCAGGATGGAGGTGAGGGCGGAAGGCCGCTGATAACTTGATGACGGCGCAGTCAACAGATCAGTGAATTTCAAATAGTTTATGAACTGGTGCGAAATTCACTCATTCTACGCTATACCTTGAACCAAGTAATATAATGTAGCCCAAGTGACACATGTTGAATGATAGTCATTTAGGACGCAACCCACTGAATGGTTTTACGACTCAAGAATCTGGTCTGAACCCGTGGAATCACCCTACTGGGTGAACGAAAATGCGCTTGTTTAGCATTAAGTTATTGATCAAGTGGAACGGCTAAATTAGGGATCAATAGCTAACTGCAAAATAATCAACAGCTGACAAAACAGTCAGCAATAGTACGCGTGATGAGTTAGCTCAGTGTTTAACGTCAAGTGGGAAGCTACGCATAACTGCCTATATATATATATACTTATATATACTTATATATATATATATACTTCCATGCGTTTGTGGGTCGAGGATTCTGCTGATGTTGCTGATCATCTCCCTGTCATACATAGGCAACCAATACTGGAAATAGCTAGATAGCAAGATTGAGTGATCTGCTCTCCAGAGGGTGACTATATATATATATTGTATATATATATATGCATCAAATATCTAAACCGTTCTGATCAAGTTAAAGTTCTTCGAGGATTGTTTCGGAAGTGCAACTATCGGGAAGTATGCGCATTTCGTGATTGATCTAACTACTCGGTATTGTTCATAATGGTATAGACAGCAAGCTGAGGATGGTTTAAAGACAAAAACGACAAGCAGGCACCCAAAACCAGGGGTAGCAGCGGCGAACCACATGAGGATCTCACAGGCTTGGATTAGGTCCTGCTTGTATGAATCAGTCAACAACAGAACTTTCTAAAAATCTCTAGAATTTAATGTGGTGCGTGCGATGCTATTTTTGGGGTAGAGACGAACACAGATGAACACAGTGAAAGGCGACATAAGCCAGAGTCATTCACTGGAGAGCCACGTCAGGCTTGAATGAACTCTGGCGATTGTCAACGACTCTGCTTTCGAACCTAATTGGACTCACATGTTCATTGGGGAAGACACTTTATTTGAGCCCACTTACGCCTTGGACGCTCAGTTCCTGGGGTTGTATTTCTCCATATTACACTCAAAGGACGTGTTGAGAGTTTGAACATCTTCGATAGAGTATCCTCGGGGAATCAACCAATGTAGTTCGTTTACCTGTACCGTCACCAGATATGGTAAACTTGATGAGTTCCTTTTTCGACCGTGAGTTCGTATAAGGTATGACCTCTGTGCTCAGCTAGGATGCTAAGCAACTAAATACTTTGGTGACCGTGGGATTTAGTATTTGAATAATTGGTAACCTGGGTACAATTCTTGAGAATCGGCTCCACAATGTCAGTAAAAGTTACTCGTCAATGTTGGTGTCCCGTTCTCCCATTTGTCTGACAGGAAGCGTGGCGTTCAAGCAGGGTCTCAGCCGGTGAAACCCTATCTGATACGGTTTCTTTTGATGTCGAACGGTAGGTGCGCAAAAAAAACATCCAGAATAATACTCGCATTCCCTTTCCATTAAAGTATTTAAGGGGATGTGCCATCTGAGTACTCCACTTGTCCATTAGATGGTAGGGCACATTTAATCATGACTTAAGACTGCGAACGTGAATGGCTTCGAGAATTTCCATGGACATCAACTGTCAGTCATAGCACTGTTCCTGAGCAATGCGAGACCGTCCTAGCTATAAAAATGTTGCGTGGTTGGATTGTCTTCAGCCACTCGAAATAAACATCCACGAAGGGGGGAAATTATTGATCATGGAATGGTGCCCCACTTTCAGGATGAATTATTTCCGCGGGACCATACGGCATAGGCAAGATTTATAACACAGCTCTTATGGGGACTTTTGCGACACACGATTTCATCCTTTTCGATCGCTTCCTGGTCTCTATATGAACTAGTTGCGCAGGATTTCTTACGTAGCATGCAGCATCTTAGCCAGTGTGACGTTTGTACAACACATTTCATTAGGGCCATTGGTATTACTGTATAAAGCAACCTTCTACTTCCTTCACGGCATCATGCGTTTGATTCCTAATCTGTACACAGACCCTTGGATCAACTATTCCACTCACAATCCCAACTACAACTGCACTCACATTTCCAACAAAGTCGGTGAGAAAGACAGCAAGAAGAGAGGGAAGAGGAAGACAGCAAGAACCAACCTACTACTCGCATACACTTTAAGTCCGATGATGATGGTAATAGCATGCAGGACAAGCCTGATTATTTTTTGGGTTTATTCGGGAACCGCCCCAGTATAAGGCGCGTATTGTGGGCGGCTGAGATAATCAGACTGGCTATTTGCGTCAGTGGTCACTACAAAGCAAGCACAGTGCCAAATAAGACCTGGGCTAAGAATAGTTGTTCGACACAACCGTTGGCAAAACCCAGCTGGAGTGTTGCTTCACGTTCAATCAACTTGTGGTCGTCGCTCCTCGTCATCACCATCAAATTATGATGTTTTTTCGCTGATTACATCTTTACGTAAAAATTTTCGTATGAGCTACATACGTCATGGGTAAATTGGGATTACATCACCTCAAAATCAACGTTCATTGTGTGCACCCACCATACAAAGACACCAATAGACTAATCAATTGACGGGTTTATTTTCAGTCTATGACGTAAGGAAGGCTACCGTCCAAAAGGTGGTATATTGGACGTGGTGTGCATCGAAGCATAGTGCCGGTAAAGACGCAATGCCACTCTCTGTTTCCAACCTCCCCGCAATATTTCAAGGTCCAGCTGATTACATATCGACTTCTTGTTGAAGCTCGTGGAAAGCGTCGCAACGCTGATGCATGGAATATATTGAACCTAGCCCGGATTGGTGCCGATTGCTCGAGGAGAGGATATTTATCTTACCAGGGACTTCCTACCTCGGGAAATCAGGTGGAGAAACGAAGATGCGCGGAGCAATGAAGGACTGATGTGGAAGGTCAGAGGGGTTTGGTGAACTTGGTTAGCTGTATCTGGAAAACCCTGCTAAAATGAGCTACGAGTTGACTGATGTCACGCCATCGCAATAAGCTTTCGTGGCGAACCAAAGTTTTTTAGTGTTAGACCGCGATGCAGGACAACAACAACAACTGTTAAAGCGACAGCGTGCACTTAAACTTCTCGTTGCAAGAACAACAGATTGATAAGATCTTCGTGAGTTCGTCCCACTGCTTATTGAGAACATAGAGCCTCAGGTTCGAATAAAAACAACATGGGTGACTATTTTGATTGGACATCAGATGTGCTTCAGTTTGTGTTGCTGGTGCTCGTGTCTAAATATTTCGACAGGCCTGTTTGCTTCGACACCGCAACACCTCACTCAGATGTAGCATCATCCTCAAATATGTATTCATAAGGTAAATACCCTGAAATGTAGAAATTTCTTGTGGTGTTATTAAGGTTATTTGAGTAACCTACTTCTCTGTACTCAACCTACCGACGTGACCTTAGTCTACAGCAAGAGAGATTTCCGGTAGAAACCTTCAATCAACGAGATCGTACACCAGTAAACACCATTTAAACCTCTTCAAAGGGATTTGTTCTTGTTGGGAGCTCGCTTTCGAATTTTTTATCGGTACGCGTCATATAAACTAAACAAGCTAGTTTTTCACATCGTAATTGTTTATTGTCATGTGCTTGTTCATGAGTGCCGTGTTAGTATTCTGACTTCATCGTATTATCTCTCGTCTTTCTCTCCTAACAGATATCCTTCTTCTTCGCCAACGTATGGGGATGTGCTGTTTTGTATTACATGTACAGCGAGGTACTTCATGTGCCCAGCTACCTTTCTCCGCTCATTCTAGTCATATTCCTTCTTTTGTGTCTCCTCAACCCGTTCAACTTCGCCCAGCATCGAGCCCGACGATGGCTGCTTCGCAAGCTTGTGAGTTCTTTATCGTTTGCATTCCACTGGTTAGTATGGAATCTGTTGATCGAAAATTTTGATGACACTACGCGCTACAGAACTGAACTGGTATTTGGTCGGTTGACCGCCAATCTCCGTTTCTTACTACCGTTCATGTGGAATTGTATTCAACTTACACACACAGATGGTCTGTGCTATATGGTGTTGTGTCTACGTCACATCTGTTTCTGTTTCTTTAGGCTGGGTACATGCCTTAAATGGTCTGGATCACAACCTGTTACAAGAAAATCGTTTTATTTGTGTAAGGTTCCAGAGGCTATCCACTCATCCGGTCGATAAATCTCATTGGTGGACTGAGGAAGATCGGTACTGAGATGGATGAAACATGACACATTATCTATTCCGCTTTAGCTCTTATTCTACTCACAAACATACTACTCTCCCCACCATTAAGCTAGTCTCAGAATCTGTAGACAAGGAAGAAGATATTTTTTGTAATGCACCATTCATAAGGTTGCTGAAAACTCCTCGACAGCCCACGACCGGTTCCGCCCTAATTGGAGCTCATCAGGTAGGCGCAGTTTCCGTCAACCTTATGTTCTACTTGAAACCAAACTGCACGAAATTAGCGAAATACACTCATTTGCAATTTAATTTGATTTTTCCAGAGACTCACCTGGAACCCAGCTGGATCTCTCGGTTTCGATGTTTCCAGGCATTACAAAAATGTATATGTATCGCGATATCTCGAATATCGTAGCGACTGAGACATGAGGCGGCCTGGTGGAGCACATTCAGTTGCCTGGAAACATCGAAACCGAGAGATTCAGCTGGGTTTCAGTTGAGACTCTCTAAAAACCAAATTAGTTTGCAAATGAGTGTATATTCCCTAAGGAAGAAGATAGTTTTGCCGCATTTTTGCGTTGACGTAACTTTCCATTGAGGACAGAGTGAAATTATTTCACAACGTGCCGTTCTACGATGGTCATCTGTGTACAATAAGTAAGCTCTCTCGCCAATTCCAAAGTTGTCATTTTTGGGTAGAAACAGCTCCATTCCACCAGTCACGTCCTCTTTATCGCACAACCAAATGGTGAAACAGAAAATCACAATCAACACATTCTCGTTCTTTCGAAGAATTTGGTTTGCAACATCTGCCTCCTCTGAATCGGCTGCACCTGTTGGTTGCCGCTGTAGCAATAGGCGCGTCCCGAAATCGCTATGAAAGAGTGCTCTTCGTCTCCCAACTTGATGAATCTCACCACATGTATTGCGTGTTTTGTCCAGAACACCGTTTGGAATCGTCATTAATACCAGAACTTTGCTAAGTTTTTTTGCCCAGGCTTCAACAGATTGGAGGAGGCCATCTTGAAGCCAATCGATATGTGGGTGCAATTTCTAGGAGCTCATCAGACTGAGTGGCGACTAATTATCACGGTTTTTTTGTGGTGTATCACTTATATTGGGGACGGCCAAAGTACCGTTGCTTCTACAGAATTCACATGAACAATTCAGCAGGGGTGGGGTAAAGATAATAACTTACGGTTTTTTCTTTTAAAAGCTGTTCAAAACTCTCTGTCGCTCTCCTTCTTTGGATGAAATAAAGTCCTCGTTTAAGCGGGCTATTCTCACAGCTCCATTGTATGGTAAAAAGCTACTTGTTTCAGCATCCGTTTTGCACACTCTGCTCCGAAAGCCGTGCAACATTAATAAAGCATTATTGGCAAAACTGAGAAATATAAGCATCTCCAGCGCGTCGCTGAGTTGTTGGTTTGTTCGCTGAGCTCGGTAGATTGATTGCAAACTCTTCATCACCGATCGAGGTGACATCGGTCAGTCAACTCCGCGCCGACGTTGTCATGCCGATTGGTAACAAAATAGTTGCAGTCTAGCTGTCAGGCTTGACGAGCAAACCAACAACCAATAATATATCATGAACGTTAGGAAATGGAGTATAGCTTTCCACCGGAGACACTCACTTGCAAACTAATTTGGCTCTAGAGGAAGACCCAGCTGAATCTGTTGTTTATGATATTCTTCAACCGAGAGTGCTGCACAAAGACCTTTTTATGTTTAAGCTGGTGTAATTTTTGGAATGTCGCCTAAGACCTTCTTGAAGGAACCCACTACTCATGAGATTATCATTGAATAATTTTCAGCAACCATATGAGTAGTGTGTTCTGTCAAGTTAACCATTTAGTTCGCATGCCGCCAAATATTTAATGAGACCGACAGTAATCCGGACAAAACGTTTCCCGTGACTGCTGGGTCGCAAACGGAATAACCCATTATATAACCCCAACTGTGAATTGCATGCAGTGGCGAGTACATCATGGCGTACTACTGAATTGTTGCGTTTTTGACGGGGAACAGAAGACAATCGTATCTGTTATGGAGAAATACGCTTTGAATGTCACATGCATTTAGCAAGGCGCTTTATGGATTAGAGTAATATCGCAAAAATCAGTCTGAATGGAGTACGGTAACCACTCTTAGAAGTTTCCACCAAAATCATATTACAATCTTATAAAATGACTTCTCGCCTTTCTGCCAACAACACCTTTTAAACGTGCCGATCCCTGTGTCATCAGCCACATTGTTTCTATACTCAAAACGAAAAAAAACAACACAGACACCACTGAGGTCTACCAGCAAACCTATGTTTGATACAAAATTTAACTCAGTATAGTTGAAATTTACTCAACCAAATTTTGCGCTCTTTGGTGAATCGATTACATGCCTCTTCCTCACTCCACACGCACTGACACTGCATAAAGTTCTATCATATCAGCCAAATTTAACATATGAAAATTATGTTTGGTAGGTCTAATTTGGTCTGAGCTCACTACTGGTATTTTTGCTGCACATCTTTTCCCTCGAATGCAGTAGCTATTTGGCGCACATGATTCGGGGCGTGGTGTCTAAAGTTAGATAACGATCGCGGTGATAGGGATGTTCTTGCTGGTGTTTCTTTTCCCAGCTACATGGAGTAACCGTCTGCCTCCATACACTTGTCATGTGATCCTGGAGACATACGCGTACCGCAGTCTGCTGTTCATTTCCAGTGTCGGCACTTTTCAACCAGGGAAAACAAAACAATCTCGACAAGCTGGAATAAACAGTGAACATTTCGTTTGAGTTACTCAGTGGCACCGCTTGGGTTGAACAAGTCTTAGATGCAGCGTACTGGTTTGTAGTCACTCAAGTAAATGACCACAAATTAAGTGGTAACGTATATTCGTAATGCACTAATCATAAGTTTGCTGAAAATTCGTCGACAGCCCACGACCGGCTTCGCCCTTCTTGGGGCTCAACAGGTAGGTGCAGTCCCCGAGGTTCCCTCAACCTTATGTTCTACTTGAACCAAAGTTGCACGAAATTAGCGAAATATACCCATTTGCAAACTAATTTAGGTCTGCGGGAGACTCACCTGGAACCCAGCTGAATCTCTCGTTTGTGATGTTTCCAGGCATTACGAATATACATGTATCACGTTATCTCGATTATCTTAGTAACTGAAACCCGAGGCGGCCTGGCGCGGCACATTCACACAACAGTGTGTAATTCCCAGCCGTCTTACCCTCAGATGACCAGGCCTGAATGGGATTCTCCGTAGTAAGCAGCTGACGCTGGAGTACAGATAGGTTACTGAGACTACAAACAGCCTTTAGCAGACCTACAGGAGGCGGTGTCATTTCGGCTCCGATATTTCGTAATACAGCTATGTACTGTTTTAGGTTCGAATCAGGTCACGTTTATTGAATAAACTCACATTTTATTCACAGTGCTACCCCTCAAATTTTCCAGGCTCCTGTAACCAAGTAGTAAGTAGCAGTTAATCATCCAAGTCTTTTTTCTCAACCAGGCTTTCCACATCACAGCTATTTCACAGCGAATGCATCCAACAGTTTTTTAAACAAAGTTATTCAAAATAATCGCTTTTATGTGTCGTAACAAAATTTCCAGGCTCTTGTAACCAAGCAGTAAGTAGCAGTTAATCATCCAAGTATTTTTTCTCAACCAAGCTTTCCACATCATAGCTGTTTCACAGCGAATGCATCCAACGGTTTTTAAACAAAGCTATTCAAAATAATCGCTTTTATGTGTCGTAGGTAGTAGAAACTCCGAGTTTCCTGTTATGGGTAAGTGTTACTGTTGGTGGTTAAGCTATCCGACTGGAAATTGTTGAATATGGACAGGCGTAAGTTGCATGGGAGGATAATGAACGTCGGAGTTTGACTATTCAAAACTTTGCAATAAAAGTTTCCATACTGTGTAACAATGCCAAGTCACCTGTGATCTTTGATATCAAGTTTGATGCATCGAGAAATGGACAAAACAATGACAACTCCGATTCGAGTCAGAAAGAAATTCGGAGGTTGAAGCCATAATTATCAGCAACTGTTTACATTTGGTCGGGATGAAGCCACGAGTAAGGCACAGGAGATACTTCGCTAAAGTTGAACGCGCACCTCAGAAAGTTTATTTCATTTTCAGCGGTCTTTTTCGAATTGAAAACTAAATCGGATCTTCGGTACGTTGGACTGTTAATAAAACCAAGTGTACATCGCCGACATAAAAATTTTCTGCTTAGCCCAAACGCCTCAGTCTTGCTCGTTGCTGACGAGTGAACTTAAGTTCATGTCTGCCACGTAGACGAGGTTGAGGTCAACAGTATATTCACCTCCCTCGATCAGACATCAGAAAGTGGTAGGATATATACTACATGGTCAGATTTTTATGTAAGGTCTCTCGTCTATCTGTTCAAGGCCACATGTTCACCTTGATTATCAATAATCAAACTCTTCGACTGGTTACATCTATCTGTTCACCCCGGTTATCCCTGTAGTAACTCCTAGTTTATAATCTATTACTGGTGCCACGGACAGTTTGTCACAGAAGATTCACCACTGCGTCAAAACCGAGCAATGGACTAACTTGATTCTCACAGATTGCTTGTCACCACAGATGCGTTTGGCGTTTCCTCCTGCATCTGAAGACTGTCGTTCGGGAAATCGGTTCACAAGCAAATCAGGAAATTATGTCTTCCCACTGCCTTGTTTTAAGGTGTGCAACACACCAAACGGTTGAATTAGTGCTTTTTTAGTGTGCAAATCAGATGTTGTAGTGTAATTTCCTAACGATGAATTGCAAAAAGTCTTAGCTAAAAACTTTATAAACATGAA